CGGCTCTAAGACTTTTTAGTGATTTAAAAGCTTCAGGTACCTGTAATGATCAAAGCTCTCTATTCCTTAACTGGCTAAATATTTAATTATGTCACCCTCTAACAGATTGCAAACAGTTTGAGACCAGGGATTGGGGTCTGTCTGGATTTTGTACAGTGACTAAAACAAGATGTCCAAACTTATTTGTTAATCATAACGGAATAAATGCATGAATGGTCTAAATTTGAATTGTAGAGTTCAAATCCACCAACAACTCCTTGGAAGGAAGATTGGGCAATCTATTTCTGTAGTGATACTGCCTCGGAAAGCCAAGAAGGAGTTCCTGAGAGCTGGACCCAACTCCACAGCAGTGAGTTGCATAATGAGAAGGGCAAACAGAAAAAAAGAACTGATGCAAGGAAGTAGGCTTAGATAGCTCCATTTTATTAAAGGGATTAATTCATCTATGAATTAGAGCATGGCAACAGTGGTATGACTAAGGGGGAGAAGGGGATGCAAACTGCACTGGGTGACACTGTCAGAGAGGTGACACCAAAATGACTGTTTATAAAATTTTTGTGCATTTCACAAGAAATTCATTGTTTTTAATAAAAATATCTCTGTAGTTAGTTATAATAACAAAAACATTTTTTTATAAGCCCAGCTTACATGTATCGATATACCCAATAAGGCTAAAACTCTATGCTAATTTACTTTTTGAACTTTGTAATGTGCTCCAGTAGGAGCTCTGGTAGCATAGGGCCTAGGGCATTTGACTGCTAGCCAGAAGGCTGGCAGTTCAAACCCACCAGCTTCCTCAGAAGGAAGACTGGATGATCTACTGCCATAGTGATACCACCATGGAAAAACCCAAGGAGGAGTTGCTATGAGTTGGGTCTGACTCAACAGCAGAGAGTTTGGTTTTTTTTGGTTAATATACTCTAGTCAGAGCTGTCATAATTACACTGGTACTTCAAATCACACAGTTTTATCTGCATGTGCTTTAAGCATGAATTGTTGTTTTCATTGTTGCTGATTTTGTCAAATTTTCTGGTGTCTTAGCTGTAATTTTGTGGTAATTATTATTTGTGAAGCTTTATCAGTAACTTTTTTGAGAATGAAGTAGAAATTAAAGGAAAAGGAGGAGGGAAAAAAGCTGCAGGTACAATAAGTAAAGGTGATTGGGATGAAGAAATGAAGAATTTGTTGATTCAATTGTTTCAAAAGGAGGGCAAATTTACATAACATTAAAGGTCAAGTACAAACTGTCTACTACCACTTATCTGCCAGTTTTGCTTGCTGTGGTGGCTTCATGTTGCTGTGATGCAGGAAAGTCTGACACTGGTATTTCAAATACCAGCAGGGTCACCCAAGGTGGACAGGTTTCAATGGACCTCCCAGACTAAGAAAGATTATGAAGAAGGACCTGACGATCTAATGCTAACAAAGAACTGGAGCTGAAAACCTTATGACTAGCAGTACAACATTATCTTCTAATACAGTGCCGGGAAATTAGCCCTCAGGTTGGAAGACACTCAAAATACGACTGGGGAAGAGCTGTCTCCCCCAAGAAGTATTGACCTTACTGGTATGAATGGACGAAAGCTTCCAGGACCTTCATTTGCTGATATGGCATGATTCAAAATTAGAAGAAACAGCTTCCGACATTAATTAATAATCAGAAAGGAGAATGTATGAAGTATGAATGTAGAAATATTAGAAAGTCTCAAAAATGAAGTGGAACATTTGAAGATCAATATCCTAGGCTTTACTGAGCTGCAAGGGACTGGCATTAGCCATTTTGAATCAGACAATCATATGGTCTGCTATGCAGGGAATGACAAATTGAAGAGGAAAAGCGTCATGCTCTTTGTCAAAATGAACATTTCAAGATCTGTCCTGAAGTACAATGCTGTCAGTGATAGTATAGTATTATACGCTTATAAGAAAGACCAGTTAACACAACTATTATTCAAATTATGCACTTTTATCAATTTCTGAAGTTCAAAACTGACGAAATATGCGATCAAGATGCAGTGATCATTACTAGTGATTTGAATGCAAAAGTTGGGTCAGTAGTTGGAAAATATGGCCTTGGTGATAGAAACAATGCCAGAGATTGCATGAAATAACTTTGCAAGGCCGATAACCTATTCATTAGAAATGTATTTCTAATACATTTCAACATAAATGCCAACTATACACATGTAGACCTCACCCGATGGAATACACTGAATCAAATCAACTATAGATGTGGAAAGAGACAGAGGAGAAGCTCAATATCACCAGTCAGAGTAAGGCCAGTGGCCGACTGTGGAACATACCATTAATTGCTCACATTCAAATTTAAGGTGAAGTTGAAGAAAATTAAAACAAACCTGTGAGAGTCAAAGTATGACCTTTAGTATATACCACCTGAATTTAAAGACCTTTTCAACGATAGATTTGACACATTGAAGAGTAATGCAGGAAGACCAGATGAGGTATGGGATGACATCAAGGACATCATACATGAAGAAAGAAAAATGTAATAAAAAAGATAGGAATGAAAGAAAAGACCAAAATGGATGTCAGAACAGACTCTGAAACTTGCTCCTGAACATAGAACACCTAAAGTGAATGGAAGAAATGATGAGGTAAAGGAGTGGAACTGAAGATTCCAAAAGGGCAGCTCAAGAAGGCAAACATAAGTATTATAATGAAATATGCAAAGACCTGGAATAAGAAAACCAAAAGGGAACAAGAAGCTTGGGATTTCTCAAACTGAAAGAAATGAAGAAAAAAATTCAAGACTTGAGTTAATACTGAAGGACCCTATGGACAAAATATTGAGTGACATAAAAAAAACTCATTGCCAATGAGTCAGATGTGACTCATAGCAACCCCTCCTTGGGTTTCCAAGGCATTATCACTATGGAAGTAGAATGTCCAGTCTTCTTTCTGAGGAGTGGCTGGTGGATTTGAACCACCAGCCTTCTGGTTAGCAGTCAAATGCCTTAGGCACTACACCAGCAGAGTTCCTATTGAGTGAAATGGTAAGTATCAAAAGAAAATGGGAGGTATACAAATAGTCACTGTACCAAAAAGAATCGGTTGACATTCAACCATTTCAGGAGGTAGCATATGATCAAGACCAATGGCAATGAATGAAGAAATTCAAGCTGCACTGAAGGCATTGGCAAAAAAAACAAGGCTCTGGGAATTAACAGAATATCAATTTTGTGTTTTAACAAATGGATGCAACACTGGAAATACTCAGTCATCTATGCTAAGAAATTTGGAGGAAGAGTTACCTGGCCAACCAACAGGAAAAAATCCACATTTTTGCCTGTCCCAAAGAAAGGTGATGCAATGGAATGTGGAGATTATCAAACATCATTAATATCACATGTAAGTAAAATTTTGCTGAAGGTTAACTCAAAAACAGTTGCAGCATTACATCAGTGGAGAACTGCCGAAATTCAGGCTGGATTCACAAGAGGACGTGAAATGGGGGATATCTCTGCTGATGTCTATGGCATTTGGCTGAAGGCAGACAACACTAGGAAGATGTTTACCTGTTATTTTATTGAGGATGCAGACATGTGACTATGTGGATCATAACAAATTATGGATAATACTGAAAGAATGGGAATTCTTAGGAAATACAGCCAGCCAAATTTGGAAGGTTTACACAAGTACACACACACACACACACACACACATGTACATGTGTATGTATACATATTTTTTCTCCCAAAATATCAGGGCTTCTTAGGTAAGGAAATCTCCCAGAATAACAAGGGACTCAATGCTTCTCAGATCACTCAGAAAATTAGGCTGCCTGCTTGAACCTGTCACCTTCTGGAATCTTGCTACCTTCTTCCCCCTACTGTGCCTATCTAATACACACAAAAGTTAACTTTAAAGCCACAGTGGAACCAGTGGGACATGTCCATTCAAGTCTGTCATTTGTTGTTGTTGTTGTTATGTGCCATTGAGTTGGACCCGACTCATAGCGACCCCTCCTTGGGTTTTCGAGGCAGGATCACTACAGAAGTAGATAGAATGCACCCCACACCAGGAAAAGCAAGTGAAGATTCAGGGGAAGAGGGTAAGGCCTGAGGTGGGAGTCAGACTGAATGCTGAGGTACAGTAGGAGAGGAGAACTCAGTGAGGTTGGGCAGGTTCTTCCAAAAACTAAATCAAAAACCAGGATACATAAATTCATTTCAGTCAATAATGGGTACCATTTTCTCCCCATCTTGGCTCTTAATATTTTTATTACTTTTACAAGTACTATCAGCACTCATGAAGTACATTTTGGAAATAATATAGGAGACCTGTGCTAGGAGGGGTGAATGTTAGAGTTGAGTGGTGATTTAAGAGTTAAATATAAGAATCAAAGACTGCTATGCATTTCAAGCTTAACTAATCATTTCTGATAAATTACTGAGTTAAGTCAGGAAAGAGACAACTTACTTTTTGGTCAGAAAAAATAATCTTTTAACAAGATGCCATAGAAGTGTGGTTTTTTTTTTTTTTTTTTCTTTTTCTTTCTAATAGTCACATGCCAGTAAAATTTATTAGAAAAGACACGTAATTATTAAAACACTTCTGGTTTCAAATCAGTATACCAAGGCTTATGTAACGCTTATTAAGCAGGTCAGGAGGTGATACAGGAATATTTTCTTCCCACACTGATAGTAAACAAATGTCCAGATATTTGGTCCATATATTCAATTTAAGATTTATCAGAAGTAAAAACGCTTCTCATTATATTTACTGCAATCTGTACTAACAACTTTATCCTGGATCATAACATGGTCAAAAAATAGCTTATTAAAAGCAAAAGCTTTCAACTAATTTAACATAATAACATTTCAAAAATTTATTTAAAATAATTAAGCTTAAGTTCTAATAGTAGTGCATTGTGAGCTTATGGGTTAATTAGAACATATGTCACATTGCCACCGGACCTTTGTCTCACCAAGCTGCACTGCTCACACAGCAGATCGCAGTAAGAAATGCCAGTTGCCTACCTGACATACAGGGAGCGTTTCTGATTGGTTCGCAGGGACCCGGACCCGGAGCTCATGCTGTAGTTCATCATCTGCTCCCGTAGGTCATGGATTTTGGCCTCAAATCGAGCGTAATCTGGGAACGGAAACAAAGGTAGCAAATTTGATTCCATGCCTTCACAGGGCTAGGAATGCTGCACAGCCAAGGCTACTCCACACGCTTGTTAGTTCTTTTGCCAAGCAATGGAGAGCCACACAACGCAAGAAGGATGGAGCACAGAAGGTATATTAGTTTAGGTTTTTTCAGTCACAGATATTCACAAACAGAAAAGGAAAAATCAGTTCCGAAACTTAAGAAGTACACCAGCACCAAATTCTAAACATGTTAAAAGTCAACGAAGGTAGGAGGGAAATGTTTGTGATTATACACAGGCCACCTGAGAGATTACTGTGGGGACAGAAATGTTCTGTATCTTGACTGTGCTAATGAATGCACAAACCTGCACAGGTGATAACGTTGTATAGAATTAAGTACACATGCATATACAGAAGTACAAGTAAAATTGGGAAAATCTGAAAAAGTCAGTGGACTGTATTGATTTCAATATCCTGGTTGTAATATAGGATTTCCAAGCTGTAATCTTTACAGAAGCAAACTACCACAGCTCTCTCCCACCGAGCATCGACTAGTGAGTTCAAATTGTCGACACTCTGGATAGTAGCTAAGTGCTTTACCACTATGCTACGAGGGATCCTTAACTAAAAATAAGAAGTTTATTTTTAAAAAGAGTCGGGGGAAGAAAAAAAAAGCCGATGAAACTCTCAAAGCTGTGGGTTGAGTACAGAGTCCATTTTGCATTTAGGCTGATAGATCAGAGAATCACGTGACAGGTGATGAATAAGGAAGGTCACTTAATTTCATTAAGTTTTTTTCTGCTACTTAGAAGCGAGGATGGTGAGATACTGTCATACATACATGGGCATGTTATCAGGAGGGACCAATCACTAGAGAAGGGCATCATGCTTGGTAAAAGAGAGGGCAGTGAAAAAGAGAAAGATTCTCAAAGAAATGGATTGACAGAGAGGATGCAACAACGGGCTCAAGCATGGCAACGACTGAAGATGGTGCAGGACAAGGCAGTGTGTTGTTCTGTTGCGCACAGGGTTGCTGTGGGTTGAAACCAACTCGGCGGCACCAAAACAACAAAACCAAGTTCTTTCTGTTTGGGTGCTGCTAAAAGTTGACCACTTGGAATCATACCTCAAATTATCCATGTAACATTAGTATATGAAACCCACATGCCAAATGACATCAATTCTAAGATGTAAAATGTATTTAAATATATTCCCATAAATATATTTTGAAAAGGCTGGGGTTAGATAAGGGATAGAGAAATATCTGCACATTAAATATCTTTTAGAAACATTCAAATTTAAAAATGAAGGAGTTATGGGCAATTACATTATTTCTCATGGGAAAATATTTTTGCCATGTGTCAATCCACTAAATTTTTTTTTTTAAAAAAAGTGCAAATAAGTTTTAGATGCTTATTAATACAATCAGCATGTAAAAAGAAATAAACAGCTTTGAAGTTCAGATATTTTTGATCACAACCTAAAAACTATTATTCTCCTTGGGAGAACAATGTCTTACTTCAGGAAAACCCATTAGGTGAAAGAATCAATTTATCAAAAAAATTTGAAAGTGTTAGTTCAAATTATAAATGGCTTTTATTTACAAAGAATTTCAATAGAAGTCCTCAATGCATTTTAAAATGTAGTTTGAGTTTTAATTCAATTTATTAACAACTTTTCATGAAAGCAAGAATGACTGAATGTAATATAAAAATGATGTACTTACAGTGTATATCAAATTCTTTGTTATAAAAGTTCCACAAAATTATATTTATTTTCAATTTACTCAATATCTATTGGTAATTGTAGGATAAAATTTCCAAAAAAGAAAAAATACGAACTTGGTCTTCAGAAAATAGACACCAGGATAATAATCTTTGAACATTAGATATATATACACATATATTTAATATACACATGTATTTAATAAAATTTTAACAGTTGGTTCAAAGTTTCTGGAGCTCAATCAAGGGCTTCCTGTTTCAAACTTAGCTTTGATTAATTAAATCCTCAGTGATTAAGTAAACAAAACACATATTTAAACTAAAATGGATTCTCCATAATTTAAGATATGTTATTTCATTTCATTTCAGCAGAAAGAAAAAATAGTTATTTATGACCATCAATATGATATCATATGCAGATTTAAATCATTTTGAACAAATCTTATTTTCTTGCAATTTAAAAGTCAATTAACATTTATTACCAGCCAGTGGTAAACACTGTGCTCAGTGCTTTATGGTATCATCTCATTTCTTTTTCAAATTACAAAATAGTCTTCGACCTTGGAAAACTTTGAACTATACAAGACGACACAGAATAAAAATTGAGAGCTCCCTTTGTCACTTCTCTCTTTGTCACTTTCACCTCTCTCAACTCACAATACTGTCCTTCCCTGAGCTTATTCCAGAAGTACGTATTTGGTTATGTACATACATATCTCAACTTATTTACATATGCACATTATATATATACGTCACACACATAAGACCATAACTCCATATAAGCTGTCCAAGGTTTCCTGCCTTTTAACAATGTAATTTGAATCTTTCTTACCTTCTATCTATCTGTCTGTCTGTCCGTCCATGTGTAAGTCCAGCTATCCTTATGGGTATTTAGGTCCATTCTGTTTATAATGGTTCACTACTATAAGCTGGGATCTTGGTGTATGTGTGCATATTTCCAGCAAGTTAGCTGAGTGCTGGAGGTGGTTAAAACTTTATAATACAGCCATCTACAGCTCCTGCTGTCGTGGTGGTGTAGTGGGTTAAAGCATTTGGCTGCTAATCAAAAGATCGCTGTTCGTACCCACCAGCTACTCCACAGAAGAAAGATGAGCCAGTCTGCTTCTGCAAAGATTTATAACCTTGCAGACCCAATGAGGGTCACTGAGTTAGAAATGATTCAATGGCAATGTGAGTTTGGTTTTGACAGCCCCCACTAGCATTTCTCAGAGAAGTGATCTGGGCCTGGAACACAAAGGCAGAATTTGGCCTTGTTTGATCTATCTTCCACACTGCCACTTGCTAAAGACCGTATACTACTACCCCTGAGTTGTGCCACTGAATCTCCCGTCTGATCACAGGTCATTCTCCTTTGCAACTTTCAAGGCTTCACTATCTATAGTAAAAAACTGAAATCCTATCCTCCTGTTAAACTGTCCCCTGTTATCTAATTCAATGCCAGTCCCTGAACCTCATTTCACTACTTTGTTACTTTAAATGCTGTACTTAGCACACCAAACTGTAATTATGTGTTCAGTCATCCATCGTCCCCTTAGACTGAGCTCTCTGAAGCAGAAGCCATGTCACTCTCCCTAGAACTCCAAGTTCCTGTTGTTGCTGTTGTTATGTGCCTTCGAGTTGGACGCGACTCATAGCGACCCCTTCTTGGGATTCCCAGGTAATATCACTATGGAAATAGATTGCCCAACCTTCTTTCTGAGGAGCGGGTGGTGGATTTGAACTGTTAGCCTTCTGGTTAGCAGTCAAGTGCCTGAGGCACTGTGCTACCCTTGTTGTTGTGGTTGTTGTTATTTGCCATCGAGTCGGCCCCAACTCATAGCGACCCCTCTTTGGGTTTCCGAGGCAGTATCACTACGGAAGTAGGAATGCCCAACCTTCCTTCCAAGGAGTGGCTGGTGGGTTTGAACCGCCAGCCTTCTGGTTAGCAGTCAAGTGCCTTAGGCACTATGCTACCAGAGCTCCTTAGGTACAAGTAATTTCATGAGAGCAAGAACACTAAGATCTACTTTCCAAATTCTTGGAAACAAACAAGTTCATAGTTGCATAAAATGTTCTAGAGATAAACAAGAAATCAACAGTGTAAACTGTGAAATATAAGTCTTCTTTGTACTTAACACTGCCACATTCATTTCCCCATAATCCCTTCTTTCCTACCCAAGTATTTTATTCACATTGATACCCTTCCCTATAGAACATTTTCCTATCAAATTTCTAATATTCCTTCTCAATTCCAAACCTCTGGAAAACATTTAAATGAGATTTTAAAATGCTCCAAGTTCTACATCATCTAATGGGGAATTCATGTTTACTGAGTACTTGCAATGGGATAGGACCTGGGCTACATACTTGAAAAAATCTATTACTTCTCCTAACAACAAAACTCTGAAATAGGTATATTATTTTAGTGATGAGGAAACAGAGATTGAGAGACGTTAACTTCAACCAAGTCACAGAGTTTCTAGGTAACAGAGCTAATTAGGATGCAGAAATTATTCAATCCTGGGTCTTCATAAGGCCATTTTTGGTTTCATTATACCATAATGCCTCTAAAAACACCACACTTCTCATTTGGAACTTAAAGGCACCTCAATTCTCTCTATCTCCCTCTTCACATCCCCTTCCACTCCTTCTAACTCTATTAGTTATGAGCATGCTGGTCTTCTCTATTGCACTGTATAAGCTCAATACAGAGTGCCTCACTCATCTGTGCTCCCCAAACCTCAGGATCTATCATTCCACCTTATCTATACATAGCACTTGATTTAGGCACTTGGCACATAGCAGTGAACAAAACAGAAGCTGAAGAAGTTTATTTCCACAGGAGGCACTGATAAAGAAAGTACACATCATAATGTTAGGATGGGGAAGTACATTAAAGAAATGGAATCTTATTCTCTTTTGTTTTGCATGAAATAGGTGAGTGGCAAATGCTTTTTAAATTGCTGTTGTGTACCATGGGTTTTCCTTCTGCAACAAAAAGCAAATCACTAAAAACTAATCTTAGATAAATGTTTTAAAGGACTCCCAAAAGTATTACCTCCAACTAGTTTTTTGCCCCTTTATAAACAATAAGATCAATTTATTCTTTTGATTTCCACTTTCTTGAGTATTTAAATTCAATTGTTCCTGACGAGATACATTAATTTTGGGATTGTAACATTTGCTTTCATTTGGATATAAAGGGTCATAATAGTAAAGGGTAAGGTTTAGATTATATATATGGGATCAGAATCCTCAGTCTGCCACCTTTTAGTTG